GTCAAAACCCTAATTTTGACCATTTTGCCCTTTTGAAGATTTGATCAAATTTTTTGAGGAATTATGGTCGAAACTTGATCAAATTATACATATGAGTTTAAAATGTTGATGTGGATAAAAAATTATGAATTTTGACTGTAAATTGGCCATAGTTGACTTTTTCCCCAATACAGTTGATTTTTAGGTCAACTACTCAATTGTCTGATCAAAAGTGTGATCCAAAGCTTGAAACTTGACATGAGTAATCTTGATGGTCCATAATGATCCATGAAATTCATATGGGCATTGTAATTTCAAATATCCTTGTGCAATCTCAAACCCTAATTTTGGTTATCAGTGCTTAAGGAGGTGTCTTGAGTTGATCAATCCTAGTGCAATCCTGAGCCAAAGGAGTTCTTGTGGGAAAAATTCTTGATAAGTGAGAGGGAAAATTTTGGGGTACAACACACTCTAAAACCCATCCCAATAAACCTTAAATGTACTTAGTCTATCAAACATGAGCCACGTAAGAGAAAAATGCTTTCCTAAGACATGCCCAAAATATATACGTTTTCATAAAATCTATAGTAATAAAATCCAGACGTATTCATAAAAGGAAATGGAAAATAGATTATTAAAATCTATAGTAATAAATAAATTATAGTGCATTTTAATAGTTATAATTTATGGTTGACTTGTTTTCGATCTGCAGCATCATAGGTTTCTTTACTTCAACCTCCATTTCTTTAAGCACAAATCTGATCTAAATCACTTGACATGCAACATAAGGTCCGGCTATATATTCATTCTCACATGATGACAATGCCACCATAGGTTGCTTTCTCGAGCACCATGAAATTTGGGCACTAAAAACTTGATAGAAATAACCAGTTGTGCTTCTTTGATCTTACTTATCTCCATACCAATCATCATTTGAATAGCAACTAAACATAGCTTCTTTGATTTTAGAGTCTCGTTGAAATAGAATTTCATAGTTTATCAATTCGCTTAAGGATCTTAGGAATCTTCTTGTAGCCTTCATGTGTTACACCCTTGGTTCACTCATGTATCTGCTCCCTAATCCGACTGAGAAACCTATATCAAGTAGGCCGTTTCACACATATCTCAGAGATCAAACAAATTGTTTGAAATAAGTAGTGTCGACCTTGTCCTTCTTTCCATGTTTCTCCAATTTTAGATTTGGTTTGACATGTGAGGATGTAGGGTTTGAGTCTTCCATCCTGAATCACTAGAGTATTTCTTTGATGTAGAATCATACCTTGCATCAACATTTAAAATTCCATCCCTAGAAAATACGACAGGTTTCCCATATCCGACATTTTAGATTCCCTCTTCATCAGCTCTTTGAACTTTGAAAAATTCTCCAAGATATTTCCAATTACCAGCAAGTCATCAACATATAAGCAAATAGTGGTTATATCTTGTGCCACAACCTGAACATAGACACCATACTCAAATTTACATTTTACAAATCCCAATTCAATTAAGTATAAGTCGATCTTCTTGTTCCATGCCATAGGTTCATGCTTGAGACCATAGAGTGCTTTATGAAACTTGTATACTTTCTTTACTTCCTCCTGAATCACAAACCTAGGAGGTTGTGTTACATACACCTCTTCATCTAAAGGACGATTCAAAAATACTAATTTCACAACTATGTGAAATGTCAACCAAACTTTCTTGTATGCCAAGGCGACAACCAATATGATTGTCTCCAATCTTGCGACAGGTGCATATACTCCAGAGTAGTTGAGTCCTGCACTCTAAATAAATCCTCGAGTTACCAATCTCGCTTTATGTCTTGCTATCAATCCATTAGACTGTGCTTCAACTTGAACACCCACTTCACTTTAATAGCTTTTGTTTGTGCTGGCAATTTGACTAATTCCCATGTGTTGTTTCTTTCGATTGCTTGTAAATCTTCGACCATATCAAACTTCCATTGTTTATTCTTTAAATCCTCTCTATAGTTGATTGGTTCAGCACCTGTAAGTAAAGCAAAATGAACTAATTTTCAATCTGGTGCGACTTCATCATCACTAGACACTTCATAGTCTTGAAGTCTTGCTAGACTAATTCTAATTCTTTGAGATCTTTGGTTTGTGCTAGTAACACCCTCTTCGACTTCGAATGTGTTAGGAATGCCAGTAATTGCTTCGACTTCAACTTTGTCTGGAATATCAGTAATTTCCTCGACTTTGACATTATTACTTGCTTCATTGAAGCCATAGCTCATCAATGTATTGTCAATTAAATCACCATACTTCCAATCCAAGGCAAAATTTTGATCAATCATAATATCTTGAATCATCATGATCTTTTCATTAATTGGATTGAACAACTTGTATGATAAAATTGTATGATATCCTACCAAAATCATAGGTTCATTCTTGTTGTCAAGCCTCGTTTTTCTCGCATCAGGAACATGCTTGTAACAAATAGATCCAAACACATTCACATGACTCATTGATGGTCGTTTATCACTCCAAACTTCTTCAGGAACCTTGTTCTTCAATTTCTTTATAGGACACGTGTTCAGAATATAGATAGCAGTGGAAATTGCTTCACCCTATAAGGATTTTGGAAAGTTCTTCTGCTTCAGAATGCATCTTGCTATACCTAATATGGTTTTCTTTCTTCTATTCCATTATGTTAAGGAGTATAAGGAGCAGTTACCTCATGATCAATACCATGTTCTGCACATAGATCTTCAAGCATCTTGGATGTGTATTCGCCACCTCCATTTGTTCGCAGAACTTTGATCTTTTTCTCACTCTGGTTTTCAACAAGCATCTTGAATCTCTTAAAGATTTTTAATACTTAATCCTTTCATTTAATCACATAGATCCAAAGCTTTCGACTATACTCATCGACAAACAAAACAAAATACTTGTTTCCATCAATGGTACAACTTCGAGTATGCAGGAGGATATCATTGCTATAGTCGAAATGAAATACTTTGTAAATTGCTTCCTTACTAAGCAACATTCACCGAGTTTATCAGGCATCAGAAGAATTAGTATACATGTTTCTATATCTTAAGTAATCAATTGATTAAGTGACCTAAAATTCAGATGGCCAAACATTAAATGCCACAACCAAATGTTGTTGTGGTTGCCAATTGTTTTCAGACATTGTACCTCAGTCAAATTAATTATGGTCTTAAATTTCCTATTCTTCGACAAAGGATATCTCAAGACCAAATAATTCTAAGTTCAAATAGTTCCAAGGCTCCATATTTTATAACCATTGAAAAACCTTTTTCGACCAGTTGTCCAATACTTAGTAGATTTCACTTTATTCATGGTACGTTGAGTATATATTTAATCATAACTTTCGCTCTATTACTCCTTTGAATAACTATGTTATCAGTACCTTCTTATTGCAATGATCTATTATCACAAAGTTTGGCATGTCTCTCCTTTAACTCGTTGGAATATGCTAACCACACTTTTCGACCAATCATGTGATTTGATAAGCCTCACTCAAGGAACTAGATATTGGAGTCGATATGCTCATCTGCAACTACAACCATGAGCACCAAATAATCAAAATCATCAAAATCTTGACGTGTAAGGTTTGCTCTTTCGTCCCTGACTTTTGTCGCTCCCTTGTCTTTCCTCTTGGCCAAGTGACCCCACTTTTCCCATATCATTGCACAACTCTTTTCTCTTCTTTGTCTTTCTGATTGGAGTTTCCTTCTCCTCTTTTTGAGGATTCAGAAGCTCTATCATAGACCTTATGCTTGTCAGCATTCCACAAATACTTCTTGATCTAAGTTTGTCTCCTTTGCCTTTGAACTTGTTGGAATCACCATGCTTCTTCCATGATCGAGCTTGCAATGCTTGTATCAAATCTTAAACCCCTTTTCTATTGACAATCCTAATCTCATGCGCCTCCAATGAACCAACCAAATATTCTAGTTTTAGGGTTTCAAGATTGTTGAATTCTTGAATAACTTCACATTACTTTCTCAACTATCATCTTATCAGTTATGGTTTCACTATAATCTTTTATGAGATGGAAGAGACTTTGCACCTTCGACACATAGCCAGCAAACTGTTCATCTTCTCCCATCTGCATCAATTCGTATTGTCGCCGTAAAGTCAGCAATTTGACTACTTTGAATTTCTCACTTCCTTCGTAGTACTTGACAAGAATATTCCATGTCTCTTTCACCAATTAAGCATGAGAGATATTGTCGAAATTCCACGAATATACTGCCGATTGAATGTAATACGCAACCTTGCAATATTTCTTATTGGCGTCCTTGTGAATGGATCTCTGAGCATCAATTACGTTGTCAGCAAGTTCAAGAACGCCATTAGTAACCACTTCTAGGATTTCTTGAAAGCCGAACAAGGATTACATTTGTTTTCTCCATCATATCTAATTTTTGCCGTCAAGAATTAGAAGAGAATTCAAAATACTTTTGTTATCGTTCATCTCTACAACAACTGTGATTCGCGATGCTTGGAAACACGATCACCAGCGTTAAGTAATTGAAAATACGATCAAAAACACAAACCAAAAGCTTTAGATACCAATTTGTTAGCGCGTGATGTACTTTTAATGAGGAGAGAAATAGAGAGAATAAAAAAAAATTAATATTATTGAATGATAAAAACTAAACTACATGATGTCCTACTTATATACAACTAACTAATTTGTATACTAAAACAAACCCTAACTCTAATTAGCTTTGAGTTTGAGCTACACAAGTTGAATTATATAAATAAATAAAAATTAAAGTATATGTTTTAGAACCATACCAACAAACTCCCTCTTAAAATATTTAAAATAGAAAAAAGGATTAAAAAGAAAGGGTAATGTTAACTATTGATGCAACAAGACATTATGGGTATAGTGGGGCTCACATAATTCGGTTTTTAAAATATTTATATATAGGACCACAAGTTAATCAAAATATTTGCAGCATAAAAGAAGAGGCTTTGCTTTACCCTTCTTTCAAGAAATCATTCAAAGAGTAGATAGAAACCATGGAAGCAACACATCCTCTTTCAATTGAAAGTTTTTCATATAGTTGCTTAGTGAACCTTAAACCATCACTCGATCAAAGCCTTGATAGTTCTTCTTCTTTTAGAATTTCTGTTGATGCTTCTGATGAATTAGGTTCATCTTTCATTGAAATGGATCCAAGAATGCCATCTTCTAGAAGATTCTTTATAAACTCACAAGATCTCAAATTTGATTTTCCAATTTCCCAACAACCTTCTCTCACTACTCTTGTTGATGCTGATCAACTCTTTTCCAATGGTTACTTAATGCCACTTTTTCATGAATCATTGAAAAATATTGAACTATATGATAATGATTCATCAAACTCAAATTCAAATTCAAATTCAGATTCAACCATAGCTTCTTTTATACCAACACATGTACCCAAAAAAGTGGTTCCTATAGAAAATTCAAGAAGTCCTTCATTGAAAAGGTGTAGAACACTATCAAAGAGATCTCTGAATTTTTTGATTCAAAAGTACTTGAATTTTTTGAAGCCTTTATGTAGAAAATTGAGGGGTCAAACACCAGGATCATCAAAGCATGAAAATGGTGTTAAAAGAACTCAATCAGTGAAGAATAATAGAGGAAATTACTGTGAATCATCTCCAAGAATTAGTGTTGCTTATTCCGCAGACAATTGGCGCATGTCTTGTGATTCTGATAGTTCAATCCATGAAGCTGTTCTTCATTGCAAAAGATCTATTGGTATGTTCAAAAAATATTCAAATTTCATGTTTATGTAATTGATTTATTTTACATCTTTTTGAGACTAAATGTTTTTTTCCCCTATTTATTGCAGAAAGAATGAGATAAGGATGCTAAAGTGCAAATCAGTTTTCCAAATATTGGATGTAGATCTCTTAGCATATATTCTGTGATTAAGGTTTTAGCATATTCATTAAACTATCGTTTTCAAGGTTTTCACATCATTATTTAGACCACACTTATCTTTCTTGTTCAATAATAGTACTTATTATATATTTAATATTTCTTAGTCAGTTGAATTCCAATGAATTAATCTCTCTTTATTGTAATAATTTAGTTTCCTATAATATAAAGATAGTCATTATAAATTGTAATTAATCGTTATAAATGGTAGGTTAAATATATTTGTGTTTCTTATAAATATTTCATACTTTAGTTTTAGTTCTTCAAAAAATTTACTTGTGGTCCTCTTAAATTTTTTTATCACATTTTTAGTTTATTCTGTAATTTAACGACGTTTTTTTTTTACAACTTAGCGACATAATTAGCGATAATTTCTACTTTACAATTGAATTAGTAATGATTTTAGTGACGATTTTAGTAGAAAGGACCAAAAGTATTGATAAGAAATTTTAGGAGGACTATTATTAAAAAAAATTATAGGGACTAAACTCGAATTTAAATTATTTATAGGGACGAAAAAACATATTTAATCCTAATTTGTAATCATTTGTAATTAATTACTGACAATATTATATATAGTAGAGCTGTCAAAATGAGCTAGCCCATGTGGACTGGCCCGAAAAGTCATAGGGCTTGAACCTTCATATTAGTGTCCAAATTTTTTAGGGCTTTTGTAGCTCAGCCCTAAAAAACTCGTTATCCATTAGGACTAGCCCGTATAGGTCGTGGGTGGCCTATTAGACCCACATAACTATAAATTTTTTTAAAAATATATTAATTTTTATATTGTGTTACTCCAAAAAACACATTGATTTTCCTCACTTCACTATATTTTGTCTCTATTATATTCAATCTTTCTATTTTAAATATTATACATTAATATAATAAACATTCTTTCCTCGTATTCTATTAGTTTCACTTATGTTAAATATTTGAGTATTATTTTCTACAATTTAGACATGTATTTTATTTAAAAACACATTATAGTATTTATAAAAGATAATATAGTACTTCAAAATATATTATGTTTAAAATACTATAATTTTTTATTTTATTTATAATAAATATTATGAATTTTTATTTTTATTTTTTTATTAAAAAAAAGCCCGTTTAGGACCGGGTAGCCCTAAGCCCATTTATGGTTGGGCTCGGGTAGTAATTTTGAGACCCATATTACAATAGGACTTTTTTGGCCCAGCCCTAAAAAGCTCAGATCCATCAGAGTCGGCCCGTTAAGGACCGGGTGTTGTACCCCAATTTTTGCCCCTAAGATCCTTCACCATACCATATTGATTCAATCACAACAAGATCACATTAGGGTTTTTGGTTCTCCTCCCCATCTTTGGCTTTGCTCTTTGAGGAATCACCAAGCACCTTGACTTGTTTTTCTTGTGTAATCATTCATGTTTTGTTTTGAATTTCCTTTTAATTAATAAAATCTAATGTTGATTTGTCTTACATGTCAACAATGCAGGTAAAGGCCATGGGGCTTGGCAAGTTGATCCATGAGTTCATGAGTTTATTTCCATGACCTAGTCAATGAAGCTTGAGAAGTTCAAACCTCACCATGGAAGTTATTTTGGAAGGGATGACAAGGTTATTTTGGTTCACTACATTTCCAAGTTATCAAGATTGATTCAAAAGTGCAAGGGGTTGATTGAAGAAGTTGTCATGCTTGGACAAGGCCCTGTTTCCATTGATCACAAATGCATATTTCTCTCAGTTCTCAAGATATGGAAGTGGTTGTGGTTGCTATGATTTCTCATTATCATCCTCAACAACTTATATTTACAAAGCATTTATTTTGGTACAAGAAGTTTGTTCAAAATTGTCAAAGTTCCTCAAGGCATGTTCCTTAGGAGTATATCTTGCTCATTTTTTGGTATTTTGGAGTGATTCCAAAGACACCCTTCTCTTCATAGGGCTATAAACAAATCACTTCAAAATTTCCAAGGAGTTTTCATGTGGAAGAAACTTGATGAGGAAGAAAGATTACAAGTCCTCCAGATGAATCCCCAATTTTCCATGTGTGACTTCAAATGATCATAACTTGGTCAATTTTTATCACCTTGAGCCCATTCTTTTTCCATAATTATCTTGAAGATGTGAAATTTATGCCTTACTTTATGTGAAAAGTAATAAAATGTATAGAAATTTCCTTAAGGATACAAAAGATTATAGATCATTTCATGATTTTTTTCCAACTTCAACAATTCATAACTCTCTCAATTTTTGGTGATTTTGAATGGTTCAAGTCCCAAAATGTCATTCAAGAGATCTACTTCATTCCATCTTTTTCGGTCAAGAGCAAATTCCAAGTGGAATGTTATGTTTGGATGCAAAACATTATAGGTCACTTTTGAAGAAAAATTTGAAATATTTCTAAGTATGGAAAGTCAACATTTTTTCTCCAACATTGACTCAACACAACTTTAAGCTCAAGCATCCATTTGATTCCATCCTTTTTCCATTGCAAAGCTTGTTACCTCATCTTTTTGAAACATCAAGAATCATGCCCTAAGACCCCTTGAGCTGAGAATGCCATTGGTCAGAAGTTGGCACTTTGAAACTGAATTTTTCACCAAGTCAGAAGTTTGAAATCTTTGTTTTGGCCACTAATCACAAGTTTTCCACGCATTTTTGCCTCTAAACATATTTAGTGAAGTTCCAGAATTGTTTAGCACCTTAAAATGCAAGGATTGGATGAGTTTTGATGAAAATTAGACCACACTTCACTCGTGTATCAGGTTTGCACGAATTCCCTCAAAAATACATCATTCACTCTTCCTTTTTATCCCATTTGCTTCTCCTATAAATACATGAACTATCCCATTCATTTTCTCAAGCTTGGATAGCCAGAATCACCCTGCCAAACTTGTTCCATAACTCAGGATTCAGCAACTTCGAAATCCATACACAAGCCTTTTTCAATCCAATTTTTTCATCAATTCACCTTCCTTGATCTTCCCTGAAGCTAACCATATAATTACATTCAAGAATCGTGCCCTATATTGCTCCATAGAAGTCAAGTTTCAGAGCTCTGCAACTCAACTTTAATAGGTAGATTCCTTCACCAATTCTTCAAAACTTTGATATCATTGTGATGTTCTCATTGCCCTGGTTCTAGTCGCAACACTTAATTTTTACTGGAAACAGGTTTTGACCATGAAATTTCAAATCCCTTTTCAAAACTTTCATTCTAAATTGCTTGAGCTACAATTTATATAAATTTGGCGTGAGAGTGTGGTTGTCTTCATCTTGAAGAGACGAAGCAAATACCATAGGTCTGAGCTTCTGATTTTACAGTTTGAGAGACCTGCAATTCACGTTGGCTGGAGGTTGAAGACGACCAACATGTCATCTTCCAACCAATGATGGCATGTCACTTGTTATTTTTGAATTCTGATTTAATAATTGATTCAGTGCTTTATTCACTAGTAACCATGATATGCACAGCACGCCAGATCCCTTGGATTTGATTACTAACGCGTTTTGACTCTCATCCAATGGTCCACATATTTTTGACTTTTATTTTCTTTTCTGTTTTTTTATATTTAATTGTTTTAAACTTAAATAAATCATAGAAAATTCATTTTTATTCCAAAAAATCTGAAAAAATTATGAAAACTATTTTTGATTATTCTCTTTCTGATTTTTATTTTTTCACAATTTAATTTGGTGTTTTCATATTTTTTTTATAAATTTTCACTTTCTTTGAATTGATTTAAATGTTTAAAACTACTTTTATGTATTTTTAAGTTCTGAAAAAAATTATGGAATGATCCAATGATATTGTGACAAATATCGGTGACCTTATTTTATTTTTGTTTCTGACTTTTCTATTTTTTTTAATCATTTTTGGTTTATTTTACCCCTTTCTTTTAATTTTAAAAATAGTTTCTGACTTTAAAAAATTATCAAAAAATTTATAAAATCATTTGAGTCCTTTTCTAATTTTTTTATGGTCTTACTTTTTATTTCTTGATTAATTTGAACATTTTGATATTTTTATCTTTTATTTCTATTTTTAAACATTATTTTAAAACCTTTTTGTATATATTAAAAATGTAATATTATTTTGTGACTATTTTCTGGCTGATCTTGGGTTAAATGTTTTATCATGAACTTTATTAACATCATTGGATCCATGGTGTTAAGTCTAACTCCACAAAAAATGGATGAATGATTTTAATAATAGTTTGATTAAATTTAATCCAAAAGTGGTTTGTATATTCTCTCCCACCCTTCTTCATCCTATCCCCTTCTTATTGCATTAAATGTTGTTGGAGCATGATCTCTATATCATGTATCAAAACAAATGGTGCATAGATTGCTATTGACCGGCCTCAAAATAGGTGCGACTTCTATATAAGTCCACTTACGATTGCTTAATATAACACTAAATTTTGTCCCAATTCGAATAAATGATCATTCGTGGCCCAAACTTATGATTGCATGCCCAAGTATGTTAATTTGATCTCTTTGATCCAATAACCTTGAGATTCATTGTGTAGAGGCTTTTGTTCTACCAATCCTCTAATGGATCTACAACACCTTTGGTCAACACGGATCACTTAAACATTGTTGATCATTAAATAATACTCATAAGGATTTCAAATGGATGATATACTTGACAAAAAGCAAATGCAACTTATTGTGTAGAGGCTTTGGTTCTACCAATCCTCTAATGAGTTCCAAATGCAAGTCTCAAGATGATCATCCAACTAACCACTAATCACTAATAATTGACTTTATCCTTTATTCTTTTATATGCCCCCTTTTATTTTTATGCACTATTTACTTTTAGCATTTACATTTCATGCCATTTTCATCTTTACTCATTTGAGTATTTACTTTTTTGTCATTTTTATTTTTGCTCACTTGAGCTTTACTTTTCTTTTTTTCAAAACACCTAATAATCAACA